AGGTCAAATATAGCTGTGCCCTCTCAGAGCCACCAGCAGAGGAAGGGTACATATATCCTGTGTGTACAGGATGCTGAGAGTCTTATCCATCTCCATGCTGTGGCTCTGAGGAAAGACCTTCTCAGGCTGTCCTGTATAAAGATATGCATTGATCTGTATCTGTGTGCCTTCCTTTCCACAACAGGTGATAAAAGCATTTAACAGAACTTAGTAATACTGTCTCTATCTCACAGGTAAAGTAGACCTTTCAATTTGCCCAAGGCCACCTGACACAGCCAGTGATTAGAACAGGATTTTACTCCTCTTTAGTGCCAGCAGATCACAAAAGTACTTCTGTGCCAACCTAGAGAGCACTCCAGAAAAGCATCAATTTCCCTCAGTCAGGGGATGCAGTATCATGCTAATGCATTTCCCACCTTCAATAAAGCTGGAGGTCTGTCTTCAGTTTGTTGTGCTCCCCCTCCAAATCTCTGCCTGGAGCTCCCCTCCTCGGCCCACCATACAAGCAGAGAGGGAGAAATAACCTGCACAGTTACAAACTGGGTGGGGGCTCAAGAGAACAAAAGTGCAGGCCGGATTTCCTGAAATGATGTGCTCTTGTTTCAGTTTGAGGAGGGCATTGTTGACATCTGCTTCACACTGCTGTGCCTGGGTGAGCACCACCAAGGAGCCAAGGATCCCACCCAGCGCAAGAGCCCTGTCCACGTCTGCCGGGCAGTGGCTGCCATGGTAAGGAGAGCAGACAGCAGCCCTGGCACTGGCAGGGTGCATCTCCTCAATCCCAGCTCAGGGCAACCCACTGATCAAAGAGGAAGCCTGCCCAGGGCTGTTCCAAACCCCACCTCCTGCCCATCTCCAGCCTGTCCTGATATTCCCTGCAGTGCACAAGTAGTGCTGCAGGACTTCTAGCAGTGAATTTACTCACTTACTGAATAAATCTCAGAGGAGACTGCTGTGCTTGTTCTGCTCAGCCACAACCCTCATGCTTTGCACCAAAAAAATCCTCCTGGTTTCATCAGCCCTGGGAGCAGCTTCGTCAAACAGGATTGGGCGGACCTGCCAAAGAGAGGCAAGTCCTTAATGCACCTTTCTCTCCTCCTTCCCTGCAGCTGAACTGCAATGAGTTTAAAGGAATCCTGGCAGAATGTGAGGCCGGGCAATACAGTAATGGGACACCCCCTTCCAAGTGGCTGGGAAGCAGCCCCATCCTCCGGCAGTGGATTGCATCGGAGTGCCGGCCTGTCCGCTACGGGCAGTGCTGGGTGTTTGCTGCAGTCATGTGTTCAGGTACTTCAGAGCGGTGCTTCAAAGACCTTCGTGTTGAGCAAAGCCTTACTTGGTCTGCAGGACCTCTAGCATATTCCTAAATTCCTGGATGAACACAGATCCCAGTAACATATCCTGTAGTCTTCAGGTGAGAGGCAGATCCCCAGAATTTCCTCAGCAACACTGAGCGTTACTAGCTTTGAGATAAAAGAGTATCAGTGCATCCATTCACTGAAGGCATCAATGAGATCTTATTCCCTGAAGGGGCAATAACTCTTGCAAAGTCCAGACAGCGGGTCTGTGCCATTCCTAACAGTCCAGGCACCAAAAAAAGGCTCTACACCCATCAGCAGAGGCACCCTTAGGGCAGGATGCACAGCTGAATCACAGCTCTCTCTTCTGCACAGTTCTGAGGTGCCTGGGAATTCCTACCAGGGTGGTCACCGGCTTTACGTGGGCTCACAACACCAAGAGCAGCCTGAGTGTGGATGAGTATTACGATGAAGATGGGACACTGCTCACACAGGACAAGCGTGCTCGGGTCTGGTAAGAGAACGTGGCAGGGCCCAAGCAAGAATTTGAGACAATACCTGGGTGTAAAAGTGATAGAGGGGGGAGAACAAAGAGGTGAAAGAGCTGCAGGGAGGTGGATAGGAGACAGCTCAGCTGAGATCCTGTCTACATGAGCTGTTCTTGACAAACTGGGCAACCCAAACTGAAGAGTGCTTTATTACTAGAGCCCACAAAGGAAGAATGATAGCCCAGTTCAGCCAGAGAAACTCCACTCGTATCAAAAAAACGTGCTCTCTGCTCTCCTCACCATGCACTGAACTCTTTCAAAGGAGCACTGACCAGCTGTGGTTTGGCTAAAAATTTGCTGTACCTCAGGGCTCGGTGCCTTGGTGACGATGAGCTCGTGATGTCGTCTCTTGCAGGACCTTCCACGTTTGGAACGAGTGCTGGATGGCTCGGGCTGAGTTGCCACCAGAGTTCAGCGGCTGGCAGGCTCTGGATGCCACCTGCCAGGAAAAAAGCAAAGGTGAGACAGCAGAGATGGGCTTGAGAAAGGAAGGAAGAGGAGCAGGGAGCAAATAAATTAATTCAGTATTCCTCCTTTTCCTAACTTCCAGTGGAAAGATGCAACAGGACAGGGACTCACCCTGTTGACTTTAGGCCCAAAATCATTATTTGTCTGTTTGGTTTCTGCAGCCTATGTAGCTTCAAGAGCTCTATCACAGCACTGCTTCCTAATATGTATAATCAGTATATATCTAAACTAGGGGTGGTTTTAGCTGGTAAAGCATCTGAATCTTAACTAGGCCACATTTTCTCTTCAGGTCCATCCTTCTGTGGGCCAACCCCTGTCCACGCCATCAAGGAAGGGGACACAGAAGTCGATTATGATGTCTGCTACTTCTTTGCTGCCATCAATGCCAAGTGCCAGGTCTGGATACAAAAGGCAGATGACACCCTTAAGCCAGCTTTTGGTGGCACAAAATACATCGGTAACAACATCAGCACCAAGAGTGTCGGCAGTGAGCGCTGTGAGGACATCACACACAACTACAAGTATCCTGAAGGTATGGGCTGGGCCAGTGGCTGAGCACCTTCCTTGGCAGTGTCACAAGTGAAGAGGCAAAGACTGGAGAGCAGAGCCAAAGCAGAGCACCAGGGTCATCCACTTATCACTACTTCCCCCTCTTCAGTGGCACGAGAACACCTAAACTCTGTCTGCAGAACCAAAGCAGAGGTCATAGCCTAAATTTCATCTGCTTAATTGGATTAACCAGGTCTGTAGATGGCTGGGTGTTTCTTTACCAGGCACTTTCATGTCTGGAAAAACTTTTCTGATTTCTCTTACCTCAGTAGTTAAAGAGGCCACTGCCCCCTTTACTCTGACAGATGTTAGCACCAAGGTGCTTTAAAAACTATGACAACTCTTCCCAAGTAGAATCTGTCAGATCCAATGAATATCCTGTCAGCTGAAATTCTTGAGCTGCTCCAACCAGAAACTCAAAAGGATATCTCTCTATGCTCTTAGAAACAGTTCTCTACAGTACTGCCAGGATAAATCAATGCCATTCTCCTGCACTTGCTGCTAGTGAACTGGAAAGGATACTAAAATATGTGTTCCTTTTTGTGACAGGCTCTCTCAAGGAAAAAGAAGTACTTGACAAAGCCTACAGAAATACAAAGAAACTTGAGACAGCCACCAGCAGCAGCTCAACACAGTTTAGCTCCATTCCTATTGCCCTTGAAGAGCCAGTTAACCTCTTCATCCACCTCCAGTCAAGCAGTTCTCTGCAACTGGGACAAGATATTCCACTTTCCATTGAAATGTTTAACCACAGTGGTGGAGAAAAGGCTACTCACCTGGTGGTTGGGGTCCAGTCTCTGCATTATAATGGTGTGCCCATTAGCCAGCTTTGGAAGGAAGACTTTCATTTTAACCTCCAAAGCAATGAAGGTAAGGACTCTGCTGAGTGCACGGCTAGAAAAGTGTATCTAGTTCTCACTTCAGCAAAAAATGTTCCTAGCCATAAGTTTACAAAAGGTTGGCTGAATAGCAGATTGTAAGTGATTGCCCAGAGAGGTTGTGGAGTCTCCCTCATTGGAGATATTCAAGGTCCATCTGGACACAATCCTGTGCCCTGTGCTCTGGGATGACCTTGCTTGGGCAGGGAGGTTTGACCACGATTCACTTCCAACCTCACCCCTTCTGTGATTCTGTGAAATACAACACTTTGGCAACATCACCTTAAGAGATTTTCAATCACTTGAGCATTTAAATGCTGCAGCTTTCAGTACAAGGTTGGGCACTAAACACTCCGAGGTGTCACACAGGCAAAGACCAGCCTGTACTTATCATCTGTTATTTCACCACTCTATTCCAGTCCACAACCTGAGGATCCTTGTGCCTAACTCGTGGTGTGGAAAAGAGCTGGGGGAGAACCACCTGCTCAGGCTGACTGCTGTGCTGAGAGATGAGGATTCCTGCTACATATACCTGGCACAGGAAGAGATCAGCATTTCTGATCCCCTTCTCACTATTGAGGTTAGGCTGGGCTGTCATTCTGTCACTGCAGCAGGGAGAAAACAGCTTTCATAGTCATAAGCAGCAAAACAATTCTGCTGGTTCAGTGGCTCTCCTCATGCTGTGTTCTTTCAAAGTACTGGGATTTCAGTTTGGGAAAGGTGGGTCAGGCCACTGTTGTATACAGTGCTCCCAATTCTGCCTTTTCTCTGTGTGTGTGCATGAGGAAATCCTGATGACTCCTAACTCACTGACCAGTCTGGAAATCAGAGGCTGCAGAAGGAAACTAGAGCAGAAGAAACTAACCTGCATTTTGCCTCTTCTGCCAACTGGAAGCTCAGGCTAAGACCTCTGGCTCCAAAATTATGCATCTCCCTTTAATCACAGAAGAATCTTTTTCCTTCTCTCAGTTTCAGCTCATTTCCTTCTTTCAACAGCTTCCAAAAACCATGGTACAGTATCAGCCCAGCACAGCAAGGATCAGCCTCCTGAACCCTCTCCCTGAACCCCTGGAGCAGTGTGTGGTAGCAGTTGCAGGGCGAGGGCTCATTTACAGACAGAGGAAGTACAGGTAAGTGCAAGCTGATGGATCTGAGAACAGCAGATGGAAAAAGAGACACAATACAAACTATAGAAACCCTTGCACAGGAAAGGCTGTCCCCAAAAATAACCAGGCAACAACATGGCAGGAAGACACTGCTTTAGCACAAAAGCCCCAGGCATCCCATCCTTTATTTACAGATAACACAGAAGATTTTCACACTCTAAAGGAGAAGCTAACAGAACTTCCAACAGATGTGTAATGCATAAGTTGAAGCCAATATGGCATCTGTGAAAGCTTTCTTCTATTTCTTTTTTTTCCTTTCTTTTCTTTTGGCACCACACTCCTGTCTAGCACATGCATCTCCCAGGCCCAGGGAACCAGAAATACAAAGAGATGTGATTCCTGTATAATCCCCTCTCACCTTTCAGGTTGGGATCTGTGCAAGCTAAAAGCATTCAAGAGCTGCAAATCCCATTCACCCCCACCCGAGCAGGGCCCAGGAGACTCACTGCACAACTTACCTGCCCTCAACTCCAGAACCTGAAGAGCTACAGAACTACTGACATTGCAGCTGCCTGAGCCCAGCTCAGAACAGGTCCTGCTTACAAAAGAGTGGTCGTGATCTGTGCCCTGATCTTGGGCAAGCATAGATGTTAATAGTTGAATAAAAGTAAAGTTTAAAACCATGTCTGATTTTGATTTATTTGCATAAATTCAACTCTCTCCCATCTGCCACTATGTCCACTCTCCAGCTGCAGAAGTTGAACCTTACTGTGGCAAAGATGGGCTGAAGGCTCAGGCAGATACCTCTCACCACACACAGGTGCTGAACCCACCACTGCTCAGGCATTTTCCCTCCCTGTGGAAACAAAAGGATATCCTGGAACTGTAAAGTGATCATACATGCAGCAGTTCTCTAGAGATACACCCTTCTCCCCCTGCAGATCCTTGATACTAATAAAGTGGTAAACAGTATTTTCTGCTGCTTTCTGAGGAAATAAATAATAGAAAGCTGTTCAGTGCTCTCTAAGGTTAAACAGGAAATAGCAACAGTGCAGCATATTTTGTAATGGTTCATTGGGCTGCTTGCAAAAGAAGCAAGCCCCTTTCCTTCTGTATATATCCTCTGTCACCTGAAGACAGATAAAGCAACTAATGCAAATCTAGCAATATTTTATTGTTCTTTGAACCCCACAGTAGCTGTAATGTCTCAAGAACGGGGCAGGTTGAGATGCAGCACTGCATCATCCCACGAATCCAAGTAAAATGACAACTTCTGCAATGGCAAAGAGCAACTTCCTGGAAAAGTTTTTCCAAGTGGCAGTAAGGTTCTCTCCTAGAAACATTGTTCTCATCATCCTCCGAGCAGCTGAAGAACAGCAAGATTCGCTGGAAAAGCACATGCCAGAGCCAGTGGCAGCAACACACGTGGGCACAGGAGAGCTAAAGTTGACCCTGAGTGAAGTTCTTGATTTTGTTCATGTTGTGATCTACTGCACCATTTAGAAACTGCACCCAGCCTTCCTCTGCCGGTGGACACACGTGGCTTGTCCTGCAAAAGTGGAGGAAATTCATTAGGAAACCCTCCTGGGTGTCTTTCACCTCCACATCCAGGCAACACAGGGGTACTGTGAGGTGCTGAATAACCACAGCATTAAACAGGGCTGCTACAGCCCCAGAGGGCTTTGAGCAAGGAAGTCCCAAACCTTGACACAAATGTGTGTGTCCTCAGTGGGAACCACTTTCATCCCTACCACCCTTCCCTTAGTCCCATCCCTCTGTGCCTAGGTAACATCACAACTACTCCAAAATGCCAGCATTTACTGTCCAGAAATGAGTCATATTTGACATGAGGCAGAAAGGTCTGAACTTTCATAGCAGGGAACCCACACTTATAAAACTGTGGCTCATACTCACTTTGCAATCTCTAAGACCTTCTTTAATACTGAGGCCAACTTAGCAGCCTAGAAGGAAAGAAAATGGAAATTAAATGAGCCAAACATGAGGAAAAACAGGGTCTCAGCAGTACTGGAAAGGAAAGAGAAATGCAGGCATTCTCAACAGCCAAAAAAGAGTAAAACTGCCACCAGTCCTGATGCAGAATGGAGTTATCTATCACTGCCACGCTGGAAGTGTCTCCCAGCCTACTGCTGGCTGGGACAGGTAAAAATAAAGTCACGTATGGTTTTTAAAGCACACATTAAAATGCTTTATAAAAAAAAAAAAGACAAGCCTATTAGAAATTGGTAACTGATATTAAGATATGAAGTTACAAGTGACTGACTTTAATGCAATTTGATACTAAGTAATACTTTCTTTTTTATTCCAAAAAAATCAAGCCACAGGCTAAAGGCATGAAACCAGTTTTGTCACTGGACATCTCTATGGATTATAGTTCAGAGTTAAAGCTCCAAGTGGTCATGCCCTTCCCAGAGGTGGTAAAGATGAGGAATGTATTTCCAGCTAAAGGAAGCTAAGTGTGCAAGAACCAAAGGGCACTCTTCAGCCCTAAGAAATCTTTACTGAGGCAGTCACTAACACCCACCCCTCCCTGACAGTCACATAACCCCTCCAATTTGATTTCTCCCCATTCTCTACAGCCCAGTCCCACACAGAGGCTGCAGATACTCACATTAAGTCGCACAGCCAGTGGGTTCACAGGCGGGTACATGCTCAGTGCCAGCTCATCAACACTAGGATAGAAAAGAGGGCAGCAATGGAAGAAAGGTCCTGCCAGCACAACATATGGATCCTGATCAAAGCCCACACCCAAGCCTGAATGCAAGTCAGGAACAGAAGTGCATGACAAGGAGACATCAGTCCTACCCGTGGGATGTGCCCCTCTCACCACAGTGAGAGATGTGGCCACAGCTCCACCCCAAATGCAATGTCTGTTCCCCTCCTGACCTGCACAACTCCCAACAGCTTATGCCAGAATAGTCTCCCCACCACCTGCTCACAGCCCCAGTATCACAAAGGTTGTCCTAATCCATTCTCTAGACCTCGAGAAAGACCAGGGCTGCTCCAGAGCAAAAAAGCAGCACAGGGAGAGACCTGCTTACCTTGGACTGATCTCATTAGCAATGTCTGCAAGGTCATCCAGCTGAGCAATCTGCTCTGGAGAATCAGCTTTGCCATAGGCCTTCACTGCACCCAGGACCTTCTTCAGGCACGCTTTGGAAGCCTTCATTAACCCCATGCAGGAGCTGAGCAGCTGCCGGTCAGCTTCTGACCAGTATGTGTCCCTGTTGCCCCGAAAGCCCAGCTCTTCATCTTCCATGATGTCACCATAGGGATCCTGCCCTTCCACCAGTGCCTGAGAACACAGATGCACTGAAAATCCAGAGCCTGGCATCAATTGCAATGGAGGAAAGGGAGAACATCATCTAGACATCGTGCAAATAATTAACGGGGGAAAGCTCAGCTGGTTAATCCTAGAACTGGATTAAGATAAACTAATCCCCTACTCTAATTCAACAGTGCAAACAGCATGAATCTGGTAAATAATGCCATTCCTACATCATCCTAAACTTCCTCCCACAATCCCCCATGTCCTGCAGTTCAGGACACGGCTTTATGGAAACCTCATATCAAGTAAACTCGGTTTGAGGCTAAAAACTCATTAAAATCCACACAAAGAACAATAACCTAGGTCATATCACAACAAAATTAAAACAGTCCCTGCATTCCATCACTGAACCACCACAGAGGGTGGTGGGGCATTGGAACAGGGCAGTGGTCACAGCCCCAAGCTTGCCAGAGCTCAAGCATTGTTTGGACAATGCTCTCAGGCACGTGGTGGGATTGCTGGGGTTGCCCCGTGCAGAGACAGGAGTTGGACTCCTGGTGTGTCTCCTCCAACTCAGGATATTCTGTGAGTCTATAATCCACCACTGCAGGTTCCTCTGAGGCTTAGGGGCTTCCTTACATGTTCCATCTCCTCCACAGCATCCTTGACCACACCTAGACACGCCGTCAGAGCTGATGCAACTGCTGCCTGGTTATCTGCAAAAGGAAAAGGATGTAAACCATGACACCCCATTATTTCAAATCAGTTTGCAACAACCTTCATCTAGGTTTGCCATCATTAGATCTGGAGACTGCAGGATCATGCTTTTTGCAGAGCTCAGAGCTGCACTTGTCATGCAAACAATCTGGCCCCCTTTCAAAAACAGCTGGGTTTTGGAGAATGAGTGAGCCTTCCTTGTACCACCCAGAATACCTTTGCAAAGGCTATTGATATTCCAAGACAACACATCCCAGTTCTGCTGTTCTGCATTTACAACACTCACCTCGTGGCAGGTTGGACACTTGCTCACATGCCTCCCACACGCCTCCAGTCGATATGAGCTGTTCCTGAGACAAGCTGAAACAAAACAAAAGCCCCCAAATGTAGAACTCAAGACTTTCCAGCTTGAAATCATCCCTATGGGCTTGTCTGATGATCTGACTCTCAAATGAATCTCACCACCCTCATCAGCACTGCCTTGCTCGCTCAGATCTTGGGGAACTGAGCCTTTGCTGAAGAGGCCACTGCCCCTCCCTGATTCCAAAAGTGCTCTGCTTCTGTTTCCCTCCTTCCCTTAGGAAGCAGTCTGCACTTGCTGCTTCTTAACAAGTATACTTGCAACTTTTTCTTCCTTTTATTCTGGAAAATTATCATAAAATCATAGAATCACGTGATTAAAAATTACCTCTCCACTGGAGCACTGAGAATTGTGTCTGTGAGCTGGATCATCCCTTCCACTACTTCAGTGGTAGCATCTCGTACTATCTTCCGAAGAGTAGTGCCTGGTTGAGATTGAGAAAAAGCAAAAAAGGTGCCACAGTCAGCACTGACAGAAAGCAACTGCTGAGAAGAACACACAGACTGCTCTGTTTGTGTGGATACACTGTATAAATGAAGCTACAGCTACTTGGAAGGAAGCAAGATGCTTCCCAGTCCCAAAAGGACTCTGGACAACAATTTCAGCACTTCATAAATACCAACACTCAATCAACTACACAACTTCCTACATTATCATTCTTCTGCAGGAGTAGACAGACAAGTAGTTCACTCATAAACATGTTCAAAGTCTACAGAACAGCTGATAATGCGATAACCTGCTAATGAAAATCTGCTTTCCTGCAGATGCCACATCTCATACTGGGCTCTGAAATACTGGGTTTCTTTATACAGTGGTGGCTGCCTTGCTGTCACTATCTCACCTTGGCCCTTGGGGAGCCAGTAGTACACTGTGGCAACTGCAAGAATGGCGTTTTGGACATCTTCACTCAGCTTCTGGCAATCCTGAAAACGGACATGCAAAAGGATCAGCTTTGGGTCACCGTGAGCAGCACACAGCTGCAGCATCTTTAGAAAGTCTCACAAGCAATCACTGGCTTTCAGACTGCTTTGAGAAAAGGGAAACATAATAATGGCTGTCCTATTTGAGAAACAAATCCAGCACAAGAAGAAAATACAAATAAACAAGCTGTATGCATCATAACATGACCGGGTAACAAAACACACCCTGGCGGGGTGGTCACACACCAGAGAGGAATAAGTAGCTTAGATCATTATTCTGGAGATTTTTTATTCCTGTCCTCCAAACACAGGTGTGATAAAGTTCTCCCAATTAATAACAAAAATATTTCATATTCTTTATTGGATCTAAGGTCTGTATTCTCCAATATTCTGTTTCTATCAGCAACTAGCTGCAGCTGCTAAAGAATGTAAGAACACTTCTAGTAAGAATGTCTCCTTAGCTTACAGAAATTAGTTCTCTGGGCAGCTCTTGGGTTGTTAATGCACTCTACAATAGTGACATCCCTTGTTTGCACTGAACCAAATCGTTTCAATCAAATGAACCAAGAGACACCTGAACCTTCATACACAGGGCAATTTCACAGTCTGTGGAGGCTTTCACTCACCTCTGCAGAAGGTAGTGGAGGCCTTGAGAACGCCAGACTCAGCTTTGTAGCTTCCTGTGACGTTACTTGGAATGTCTGACCTAGAAAAATTCAATGAGAGCAAAAGGAGAGAAAGTAACTTGGGTAAAAGATAAAACAATAGAGCAACTTGATGAGTGACATCTCTGTTGCTACTGCTTGATTACCGTTACTTGATTATCATTACTTCCTTCCAAGCCACACAAACGCATACACCAAATCCCACCCCAAGTAGAATTCCACGGTGCCATGCACGTAGCTTGTGTCCTACGCCTGCTTTTTTTAACTCTTTTTCTTTTTACATGGCTGGCAGTGATATCCACAACCCCGGTTCGCATCTTGGTCCATGACCCCTTCACCAGGATGTGCTGGGAGGCTTCAACAGAGACCAAAGGCTCTATAAACCTTGTTGTACGAGGGGCTACTGCTTTGCCAGGTGACCACTGTTAGGGTGGCCAGGCAATGGAATAGGCTGCCCAGGGAGGTGGTGGAGTCACCATCACTGGAGGCGTTTGAGAACCACCGGACCTGGCGCTGCTGTGGTTTAGGGGTTACAGAGGCAGCGCTGGGTTGATGGTCGGACTTGATGATCTTAAAGGTCTATTCTAACCCCTGATGATCCTACGAACCCACGAGCGGAGGGTACGTGCCAAGCGCCGGCTGGAGACCCGCCGGGGCTGGGAGCCCTGCCCGGCAGCCCCCAAAGCCCACCCCAAAGCCCGGTCCCTCCGCTCCCCGCCCGTACCTAGCGCGTCCCAGAAGCGCGGCAGCTCGAACGGCTCTCGGCCCTCGCCCGGTTCTCCCTCTGCAACGGCACAGACACAGCTCAGCCCGCGGGGAGCCCGGCTCGGCCCGGCCCGCACCCCGCCCGGCCCCGGCCCGCACCTCGCACCCGCGCCAGCACCGCCCGCAGCGCCTCCCGCACGTCCCGCAGCGCCTCCCGCGCCTCCATCGCCCCGGCAGCGCCGCCCGAGCGCCCCGCGCGTCACGTCCGCTCCCGGAGAGCCGCTGCACCGCCCCTACAGCAATCCCCATCACAGAGAGCCGCTGCACCGCCCCTACAGCAATTCTGATCCCAGAGAGAGCCGCTGCACCGCCCCTACAGCAATCCCCATCAGAGAGCCGCTGCACCGCCCCTACAGCAATCCCGATCACAGAGAGCCGCTGCACCGCCCCTACAGCAATCCTGATCCCAGAGAGCCGCTGCACCGCCCCTACAGCAACCCCGATCCCAGAGAGCCGCTGCACCGCCCCTACAGCAATCCCCATCACAGAGAGCCGCTGCACCGCCCCTACAGCAACCCTGATCCCAGAGAGCCGCTGCACCGCCCCTCCAGCAATCCGGATCCCAGAGAGCCGCTGCACCGCCCCTCCAGCAACCCCGATCACAGAGAGCCGCCGTCACCGCCCCTCCAGCAGCCCCGCTCCCAAAGAGCGGCTGCACCGCCTCTCCGGCAGCCCCGATCCCAGCCAGGGGCTGCACCGCCCCTACAGCAGCCCCGCCTCCCCCCGCCAGCCCCGCCCCGGCCCCAACACACACAAGGACCGTCCCAGGTTGCGTCGAAGCAGTTTATTAGTGAGGAAGGAAGCGCGGAGGCAGTGGGGTGTGCCGGGGTGTGCGTGGCTGCGATAGGACCAGGGGCTCACGCCCCTCTATATCAGCCGGCGGAGGTCCTCGAAGTTGAGCATGTTGTTGGCTACATCGGACCAGGCTGCGTGGGTCGCGCCGTCCATCTCAGAGGCCAGGCTGTTGGTGCTGTCCAGAGCGTGGTTTGTGCCCCCGATGACTTCATGGCACTCAGGGCACTTACTCTTCTCCATTGCCCCTCCACACTCCCCAATCACATAGACATGTCCATTTTTGCACTTGAACCAGTGGCCACGGGGACAGGCAATAGCTTGGACAATCTGCACGCGCTCAGCATCAGAAATCCCCAGGCCTGACACAGGCAAGTCAGTCTTGATGTTCTCCATGTGAGCCTTCACTGCAGCCTCATCCTCCTCTGTGAATTTCTTTGCCCCTTCCAGGATCTCACGTGCTCTGGCAATCTTTGCCGCCAGCACTGGGGAGATCATCCTACTTGGAAGGTTGCACCTTACCAAGAGGTTCAGCAAATAACTCAATCTCTGGATCTCAGACTGCAGGTCAGAGAGCTCCTGTTCTGTAAAAGTGATGCGTTGCTTATCCAGCCATGCCTGGACTTCACCCAGGCGCTTTCTCAGCCCTGGCCTCTCATTCTCAGCGGTTTTGCTCACAGAAGCTGTTAGCTCTGCTACACGTTCGTAGAAGTTCAGCTGGTTCTCAATTAGTCCAATTCTCTTTGTGGACAGATCAGAAGCTTCCAGCATACTTTTCAGCATGAGGTACTTCTCCTGTAGATTGTTCTTCAGAACATCATTCCTTGCCAGTGCAGCCTTCAGTCTTTGTCTGCTAGACTCAATTTCCTGTGCTGAGCCTTGAATTTTCCGTTTCACCTGTTCTATCTCATCCACCCGCCTTTTCACACTGGTGCCGTATCTCAGATTCCTCCTGATGGGTTTTTGACACAAAGGGCATACCTTCAGCTTGACCACGTCATCATCTTTATCCATATAATGGTCAAAGCCTTGGGACTCAAAGATATGGCCACAGTCTTCAAGCTGTACAAATCGAGCATCTGGGTCATCCTCAAAGCCAAAAAAGATCTGAGTGAGTTCCTCGTGGTTACAAACAAGGCACTTGTTTGGGCAGGGCTCTCCACAGAATCCAGCACAGGGATGACCACAGGGCAGTAGCTTGGCACATGGCACGTTGCAGCGAGGCCTATTGCACGGCTCAGAGCAGAGATTGGTACACTGGTAGTGCTGGCACTGCCACTCACATGGCTCAGCACAAGGAACACAGCTTTCTCCACACTTCTTGTTACACTTACTGTGAACACAGTAGTTCTCGCATTTCATCTCACAGGGAGGGCATTCTGCAGTACAGGGCTCCTGACACTTGTGGGAGCAGATCAAGAAGCGCTTGCATGGCTTGTTACACGCCATATGAAATCTCCCTTCAAAGCAAGTATAACAGGAGCCTGAACATGCATGACCACATGCCAGTGTGACAGAACACTTAAAAGAACATTTCACAGCCATCTCAGGTTGCTTCTCTTGCCTCCTAGCGATCCAACATTCAACTGCCTGATTGTGGCCACATTTCAGAGTGGTTCTGACCCTCTCAGGACACTGGTTCGTGCATTGCTCCCCACAGGAATTGCTGCATTTGTGCCCACAGTTCAGTGTTTTCTGGCACTTTTCTAGGCACGTAAATTTACTCTCTGGAGTAGAGCACGGCACCATCTGCGTGTGGCCACACTTAGAAATAGTTTTCTCGACCTTCACGAGGCATCGTCCGCAGGGCACATAACACAGCTGTGGACAGCGGTGCCCATCTGCACAGAGCACCTTCTGACAAGGCTTCAGACACCGGAACTCTTTGTGCTCCATGTCATAGGGGTGACATGCCCTTGTGCAAACATGTCCACAACTCAATCTAAACTCACAGGGACGACTACAGCCTCCCTCCGGGACTTTGCTGAAGTCTGCAGCTGTGGATACAGGCGTCTTGGTTTCGGGGTGGTTTTGACAGCAAAGCATCAGTGAGTGGCCAATGTGATCTTTCTCCCGAAGGGTGTGAATGATCTTGCTCCAGAGAGGAACCTTGCCAAGCATTCTCATGTTCCCAATACAGTACAGCCCTTTCTTAGCTCTGGATAATGCTACACATACCCGATTAGGAATCTGCAAGAACCCAATTCTCTCCGCTTTGTTGCTCCGCACCAGTGACAGCAGAATAATATCATTCTCCTCCCCCTGGTACTTATCTACTACATGAACCTTCACACCTGTGAAGATCTTTGCTGGCATGAGCTTACGCAGACAGAAAAGCTGTCCAGTGTAAGTGGTGAGAATGGTGATCTGAGAAGGTTGATAATCCTGGTACAAGAAGTACTTGCACAGTTCCACTACAAACTGGGCCTCATGTGGGTTCTGGTGGCTTTTCCCTTCCTGGATCTCTTGCTCAGGAAAGTCATGTTCCACAAAGAAGAGGTTAGATGAGACGCCCTGAAACAAGAGAAACGATGTCAAAGAGAATTCTACCTTCTCTCCCCCCCAGGCTGTTTCCATGTCCCGATTATCCACCGACAGGAGGACTCTTAAGGAGAAGACTACAATATGTTTGGTTGGATTTTGGAGTGGTGTTTATTTCCAGGGTCCACCATCACTAATCCCAGAAGAACTACAAATTCCTTACCTGATTCTGTACCACACATTTCCTTGATTTGGATCTAAATTTCAGTAAGTGAATTTGAGCTAAGAATTTGAAATCCCTGAGCACCATATTTTACAGAAACTCATTTAGCCTGTAACAGGGGACAAAAGCAATTGCTTGGACTTCTGAAAACTCACTTTTATGTTCTCATAGTTGAGGACAGAGGGATGGTTCTCCAGCTCCTGGTATATATGAGGACTGATAAGTCGGGCAATTTCAGGGCGCATGCGGTGCTGAAACACAAAGCAGCTTCGTCAGTCTTGAGGAAGGAGCACCATATTTCCCTGGCAATACCCTGTTGTTCCACTCTATAGACTGTGGCTGAATACAATGCAGGGATGACTTTTCAGTAAGAGGCAAGAAGGGAGCACTTCCCAATCCCTGCTCTCCCCTGCCCCATTGCTGATACCACCATCACCTTCGGGAGCAGCAGTAGCAGAACACCTTCAAGGCAATCACTTGGTGATTGAGTGCTGGTTTTCAGTGCTGGTTTTCAGTGCAAATCTAAGAACACTTACTATAGATAACAAAAGTCAGCATGTCACCCTAACCACTACTAGGTTACTACTTCTAGGTAGTTTTAATACAGGAGTCCTGGTGGTAGAATTAACTTCTCTGGGCACGAACAGAGATGATTATAGAAATTTAGCTATAAATATCAGGAAGCATCCTGGAAAGAACTGAGCTGTCACTCTCTAAAGTTCTGGAAGTTTCAGATGCCAGAAGAGGCTATTTTCTTTGCACTAAAAGATATGGAAACTACAAAGCTGTGGACAACATGAATAATTGGAAACATACTGGAACACTGTTTGTGGCAGTTTGACAGCTCCTACCATTCTTCTCAGAAATTAAATAGTACATTCTTTTCTTTTAGGCTTCTCTTAGAATAGAAATATAAACTTTAGTGTATTAGAAACTTAATGCAACCTAAATGCAAATGCAATGGAGGTTTTTTACAGCTCTTCCTTACTTGGTATTTCAGACAGACAAAGGGGAAATCCACTTTGATCAGCCGTTCAAAGAGAGAGATTTCCAGACTGAAGTTCTTGGCCAGGTCATATACATTTGCACTAGGCTGCAACTGAAAGAGAAGGGATAGGAGGTCCACGTTCAAGCACTTTTTCTATGTGTTAGTACAATTTTTTCACTCATTTTCTGTCATTGGTCCCCCACTGAAAGACCAGAGGCTGGATTCTTGCAGAAGTGCTAAATATCAAAGTTAGATACAGTCACAATTGAAGCACATATAAAATTGTATCAGTTATACTAAAAAAGACCTATCCCACAGGAGCTCTACTCCAAAACTACAGGAGACAGGGCCTGTGATATCTGTGGAAACGGTGGAGCAACAAGTCTTGGCAACCTTTCCCACACGATGCTTGGCTGAAAGGTTCTAGCTCATTTGCACAGCAGTTAGAGGCATTAGTCAGGGAAGTTACCTGCTGGTGGTCTCCAATGAGGATGAGGTGCTGGCAAGCTTTGCTCAGAGTAGTGATGGTGTGAGCCTCGAGCACCTCTGCCGCCTCTTCTACGATGACAATTCGCGGCTCTACTTTTTGCAAGATCTGACGGTATTTGGCAGCACCTGAGCGAAGACAAACATTAGTAGAATATAATTACATGCAAGCAGTATGACAAGAGTTTTCAGGGAGAGGCATAGGCTGTGTCCCAGAAAAGGCTGAGTTCTTACCAAGATTCCCCATTTTCAAGACTCGGCTTTTTAAA